GGATCGCCGTTAGGTACCGGAACAACATCAAACACGCCTGTAGAAACAAAACATCGACGAATTTTTAAGTAGGTTAGTTCAGTGCGAAGATAACAGTGGCGACAACGTTTGTCACTATGATTCGTGAGACAAAATGGCGTATTAGATTAAAGTTCTGTCATGAATAATATTTCTGAAAATACTTGTTCCTGTTGCTTTGTGTTTTGTTTTGTATTATCCTGTAAAGTGTGGAGGTCCTTAATTTCTAAATATTCCTTAGCTTATCTTTTTTTTTGGGGGGGGGGCCGATATGTGTATACGTCTTCGTTTGATTCCAGTTTGAATCTGCACTGAAACAGTTCTGTCGAAGAGTAAACTTTGCCTTATATTCTGGACCACCGATCACATGAAATATTGTAGAATAGTCAACAGTGTGCACGTAATTTTTGTAATGTTACACAGAACAATATTAGATTGCTAATAACAGTAGTCGTAATTGATTAAACATATATGCACAGGGAATGTTACACATGGTTGCAAAGCGAAGCAAATTTTAAATTTGTATGATCAACAATTTGTCATGGAAATTTTAATATGATCGTTCAATGAACTCAGGATAAGGGCTTCCAATTAGACGACCATATTAGATTGATGAACAAAATCATAAGGATTGGTGTTTTTCAAACTTTGTATGTGGTTCATACTATCTGTGTAGTTTTCTTGTAAACCGAGTCAGGAAAGTATCTTACTACAGAGCGAAAGACATTAGTTCATATCCCAGTGCATAACTTTATCTTTAGTTTATACTTCTGAGTTGGGTTCACCAGCTGTCGTAGCCCCAGTGCATAACTTTATCTTTAGTTTACATTTTTGAGTTGGGTTCACCAGCTGTCGTAGTCCAGGGGTTGCCAACTGTTTCCAGACGTATCAACTTGTGGGCCACAAATTTTTTAAGGCGATCTATTTAAAAACCACAGCAGTTGATTTAGAAAGTGTTACCAGATTAGGATTACCACTGCAAACAGGTTCATTTACTACTAAATAATTTTCTTTAAAAAAATCTGTTATTTGTGAGGCACCCTATAAATTTCTTTTTCGTTAGAAATCTTTCAATATCAACCACATCTATACATCCTCTGGAAATTTTCTTTTGGTTAACACGGATAATCATTGGTAAGATTTTCTTAATAAATACGGAATAACTTTACTTTAGAACAGTTCAGTTTATTAACTATTGGCAAATAACTGATTCCAGCAGTAGTTTGATTACCTGTGTTTGTAATGAAGTCTATGATGGTTGCTGAACATAAAGATTTACCTTTTTATATGTTGAAACACTTCGAGAACTTTGACGTAGCGAGGAGAGTCAAATACAACATTCCCGTCGATTACGAGCATGTATGCAAATGTATGAATTTTTTATATTCTCGTCAGAGGTACCAGTTTCGTTAACTCTTTGATGTACTGTTTGTGGGCAAAAACTGTGATGAATCCGTTCTGCAGCCCGTGTTTTCGTTATGATTAATGCCACACTAAAGTACAATTTTGGAACCTTTATGGAAGAAACATAAGTTTACTTAATGAATCTTCTTAATTATATATAATTGATTTCATGGATTCTGGGGTTAAATGTAGATTTTAGCTTATTTATACTGCGTGCTAATTTGGTTGATATACGAGCTAACCTATATCATTAAAGGAATATTTAATTAATTTTCAGTTTTTAACCATACTTATAACTGAGGTACTATACATCTCCTCCATGCTTAATGATAATCCTGCCTGTACCATTCTCAGTTAAGATGGAAAGTTTTTTGTTCTCCCTGTACCATTTTAGTTATATTATTCTTTATTTTTTGGTACCATTCTCTACCAGTCTTTGGTAAAATGACTACACTCCTCATCCCTCCATTAGACATCCTATATTTTAGTGTTTTTACGCATTAAATCTTATAGTCTACCTCATATTATGCACCAAACAAAACAATAACACAACCTTCAATTCTGTTAAAATGCAAGTTGTGTAATTATATCAATTAACTGGCTTTAAAATCATACCTTTAAACATTTCAAATCTTTTTTGACTCTCATTTTTATGATGGTCTGTAAGTGGTTATGAGCAGAATCGTATTTAAAAAGCTTAGTATTATATTTTGTTATGTAAGCTATAAAAGTGGTTATGAGCAGAATCGTATTTAAAAATCTTAGTTTTATATTTTGTTATGTAAGCTATAAAATTCTTGCCAACTGTGATATATCGAACCACATGCACTGTCGTCCAGTATCATAACTTCTAAAAATACATTTCACTTTTAAATTTTTATGTGTCTTAAAATAAACCACATGGAAACCACAAGGATTCAGATTATAAATAGTGTTTTGTTTCTTTGTTTGAAGCTTATGCAGGAAGGGAATCATAATAATTAGAACATTTGTCTTTATACATCGAAGATATTGTGTGCTATATTAATTTTATTTGAGTTATAATAAATTCAATACTGTGAAAACTTGCAGATGCTTCTCATCAGCGTAAATGAACATACACTTTTATTATAGACGACTGTTTTTGAACATGAAGGACTTGGAATCTAAACCGTACCTAGAACTGTGTGGTATGCACATGGAATGTAATTGAAATCAGTCGTGCGATATTAGTGGACGCAAGTGAAGTGGAACGAGATGGACTTGAGTTGTTCCAGTCTCAGAAGTGGGCAGACGCACAGTTCCTAATGATGATGCAGAACGCGTCTCCTGGTTACGAGGGGATACCCCCTCCTCTACCTCAGAGGAAAAGGTAGGTAATTCCGTCAGTTCTCGTACGCCCTCTATCCCATGAGACGTGGCAAAGGGGACTCCCTTTCCTGTGAACCTCCTGGAGTTACAACGCAGTGTCCATAAGACACGAGGCTTTATCCCATCCTTTCTCATCAGTATAAAAATGTAATATTTCACTGTCTCTGGCCTGCCGTGTCACTAGAGGTTGTTATTATGTGCAGTGTGTAGTTGCAACTCCACCTGATATGTTATGCATGTTTTTACAGATATATATTTTTTTCTGTATTCCAACCAAAATGTTATAACCATTTATTATTTCCCCTCCTGCATTGCGTATGTCCCGCCAATTTCTTTCTCCTTGAGTTGATTATTCTAAAAATCTTTGATGAGGAGTACAAATTTTGGAGCAGAATTCAACAGCTTACTGTCTCTTGATCCCTCTTGGATCCGGGCATTTTCTTCAAAATTCTCTTCTCAAGACAACCTTTATGTGACCACAGTTAAAGTTTCCCATAATGTATATTTCTCTATCCTGTCAACCCTGCCATTTATAATTCTATTTTCTAACTGCTGAAATTTACAAGGGTCGAAGTTTAAACAAAGGAGGTATTATTGCTTTAGTCAGAAGAGTATTTTGCCTTCACGTGACGTAATACTTTTTCCGATTTTACGATTTTTACGATGAATTCAGAAGTACCGCTTTCTTACAGTTTTCTCTGCCCATACCCACTACATAAAGTCTCAAAACTCCAGTTCTTCAGGTCATAAACTTTCAGTGTCTTATCTGAAACTGCAGGTCAGAGATTGAAGCCAATATATTATACTGATGGCATTTTTACTTCGCTTAAAAAGCCATGCTAAAGAGATTCAGAACAACTCAGCAGTTTGTATCAAAGTGGGAAGTTCCCCCCCCCCCCCTTCCTGTCACTATAGAGGTGAGATAAATGTCTTCAGACAATGATTTCCAAATTCAATCTCTTATTTTAATGTGTCTTGTGCAGATGAGGAAATATAAAATAACAGCATGTTTTTTATTAAGAGCGTACGGAACATTCAGTCCGTCATATGTTTTAATCTGTGGATTAAAACCAGCAGGGAATGTGAATTAATAATTACAAAATTTGATCGAATGGTTTTATTGTCACAATTTCCACTCACACGTTTTATAAAAACAATAGATATCGCTTATATAATTTATCTTCAAAATGACACACGGACGTCATGATTGTAATGTTATTTCATTCAAAATGCTTAATCGCGATTATGACATCTCTATAGAAGTCTTTAATAATTGATTAGTTATTGTGATCAGATGAAAAGCTGGGTGTGATGTTTGCTAGAACATCAGATTCTCATAAAGTCACCTTAATACACTCTATCCTGAAGATGGAGGCGTTATATTTCTACGAAATTTTAGTAACCACCTACAATACTGCGTGGCATGATTAAACCAAAAGGCCACTATTAACATTTTCAAAATTGTGTATACATAAAATCTTACAAAACTTGGGCATTATTCGAAGATCTATAACCGTTTAGATTCCCGGCGATCATGTGGTAGTTATTATTATTGACTGTCAGAAATAAACAGCACAAACGTGGTAAAGCCTTCAATGGCTTGAAATTTCATTGACAGTTCGTCAGTTTGTGCAAACGTTATCATGAGCTGACACACGCACGATAACAAACATAATGGCATCATAATTCTCACCCTTGTAAAATAAAGAGAACAAACTATAAACATAAACGTTTATACCTTTAGACCTTTTCATTTCATTATCCCACCCTCTCCTCCCAATTTATTTTCTCATAAAAAGATTTGTTTGGCTTTGTGATTTTCAAGGCCCCCCATTTTCAGACATACCCAGTGATGTAGAGAATAGATAAACGTTTTATCTCACAATAAATCGAGTTTTATATGACTGTGTGTCGTGATACGATATTTTCCTCACACGCAGCCCTTCCTAAGAACATACTGCCTCAGGGTTGGAGATGAAGGCAGCACGTTCCTCCAAAAACGTTGATATGTACCCACAAGTCCACATAGCGTTGCGATCCGTAACATCTGCAGTGCACGTGGCGTGTTTCAGTTCAACGCCATAGCCGGAAAAGTGGATGTAGGAAGCTAAGGTGGTGTGGGATGGTTGCATCAGAAAATTAGTGTTTGTCCTGGGCTGCAGCTGGACTGGTGCGTGGGTTGTCTGTGATATGAGCTCGTCGTACAACAATCTGCATTTGTGTTCCAGGCTGGCGCCGCAGATGATGGTGTCCCCTCCGCAGCTGTCTGTGTCACCAGCAAATCCGATTGCGATGCCGGTGTTCCCTCTGCGGCCTACCCCGTCGCCTTACTCCCCGTATTCGCCTTCGAGGTTTCACATCGACAAGCGTTGCCAGCATCGGTGCTCCTGGAAGTGCTGCAGCATTGCACTCATTCTACTGTCCGTCGCCCTCACCGCCATGCTAGCCTACTTCGGTGGTGAGTGCTGAAATCATTATAGGCTTTAGGTTTCCAAAACACCAGTTAAGTAATTAACAGGCGGTGTTCCACTAATTATCTTTACTGTTTCAGATGCGTTTCAGTTCAAAATAAGTACGACCAGCGCATTCCCTACCTTGGGGCTTGCATGTTAATGGTTCTTGCTACATTATTATATGTCTATCGGTATCTACTATAAAAATTCGTGATTTGTCGTCTATCAAAAAATGACGTCATCACACAATGTTACGTTATATTTGTTTACTCGAGTAAACAAATGACTTGAGTAAGACACTAAACTAACCCCCCTTCGGGGGGTGGGGGGCTGGTTAAGTGTTTTAACCCCCCATTCGAGGGGGTTGGTTTAGTTTCTTACTCAAAATTTTAAAACGCAACCAACCTCCCTTCGTGGGGGGTTGATCAAGTGTTTTATAGCGCCCCATTCGGGGGGGGTTGGTTCAATTTTTTACTCAAGATTTTAAAACGCGTTTTAAAACCTTGATCAACCCCCCCGAGGAGCTCCGAAAGGAGCGTTCTGCTCTAGTTTTTTTAAAAACCTCGATACTGTGATGTTGGCAATGCTGTCCCATCTTTAGTAGGTTAAGTTGTGGTTAACTTGCCACAGATGTCTTTGTATTACACATGCAACTCTGACGTTTCTCGTTATTTTCTGAAAGCTTTATTATCCGGCGTTCACTTGCAGTCGGCGTGTCCCCCCCCCCCCCCCCAGAAACCCCAGAAATGGAAACAGTTACTCCCACAACGGCTCAGTAAATCATTCATATGACATACAGAAAATCGATTAGGAAAATATCAGGAAATTTGCTGCAAGAAGTAACCATTCAGAGGTAAGTTTGTTTTCAGTACGAATTGACCTGACAGTAACAAACCACTGGATCCCGCGTCAAAACAGAGGGAATGTTTATCAGCTGTCTTTGAAGCATGACAGGGGGGGGGGGGAAATCGAACCTTCACTTCCAGCGCCGGCAATAAAATTGGAAAAATGGAATGACACTCTGTTTTCGTTGTCGTAATATTATTCTACTTGAAGCGTATTGTAACAAGTTAGGAATTGTACTCACAGCATAACAGTTTTTGGCATGTTCGTCCCTTAATGACATTGTATTTTCAATTCGTGAGCACCATTATAAAATTTCATGAAAATATCTAGGGACGGTTCTTTAGTTATGAGACGACACGGTATAAGAATCAATTTTCTTTAATTGTGTCAACAATTTCAAGTCTTGGTTTATATATATTGGCCTTAAAATACGTGGCTTTGTCGATTAATGAAACATACACTTTTAGAAACGTCGTGAAATCACGTAGATAAAAATAAGATTAATTTATTGAATCTTAAATTTTAATATCATTTAACAAGCTGCTTTAATAATCAATAACTCTGCCCTTTTCGTACGCATTGTATTTATTTGTTTTGATATGATTCTCAATGCGAGGAGAGAAGGTATTAGGGGGTTGATTTGTTGTTCTGCGAATAGTTCACATGTACCTTACCATTTACAGGTATTGAAATAAATTAAAGTCCGGTTAGGGCAAAATGATCTTTATTTTATCCGTCAGTTCACTGATCGGGGGATGATCCAGACGAGCGGGCGTTGCCTGGGGACCTGGTAACTTTTATGTGTTCTTTCTCTCCCTACCCCAGAAATTGAAGTGTCCGTCACTTCTCCCACAACCAATTTTCTCTGTCCTTCTTCCATCTCTCTCTCTGGGATGTTTTGGCTTCATAGAGGAATAAATAACACGTGCAGTAGGCAGAATTATGACCTGGTTGCCTCGTCTGCTACTGATGTATGAACCTGTACTGACAAATAAATGTTGAGGAGACCTCGTGATGTAACCGCAGAAGTTCTGAATAGAACTCTTGTACAGGAACTTAGTGGCGGAAGTACGTTAGCTTCCGTAATTCTACCGCAATGTACCTCATCTGGCATAACATTGTGTAGGCGCAGTTTGTCTCTGGCTTCATAAGCTAGACGTAATTAGCGTTCGGGAAACGTCACTCAGGGTACAATGTGCATTATGTAGGATAAACTGCCATGTGACGATACAGCTGTGCCTTACGAACCTAGGTTACAATTTCCGTTGTAATATTAACACTAAATCGATCTGTAAGTGTTAATCATACGGTTTATCTTTGAGAGGAAATATTTATTCCTACTCTCAATTCGTAGTTAAGAGTTGGAAAAATGACTCATAAAGTGGACTTAAAATATTTAAACTCATCTCGTTTTCTGAGATGGTTTCATGTAAGTGTGAAACCTGGTCTGTCACGTTAAGGTGAAGATACAGATTGCACGTGTCGAAAAAACATTTTGATCTGAAGGGACAGAGATCTGGGGAAAAAAAATTCATAATGATGAATCCTGTAATTTCTGCTCTTTGCCGAATACAAAAGGACGTTCTAATGGAGGATTATGAGATGGGCGGGACATGTAGCACTCTATGGGAGATTATAAATACGAACATAATTTTTGTTGCACAGCCTGAGGGTAATATATTACTAGGAAGAAAAAGACACAGATGGAATAATAATATTAAGCTGTACTTAGAGTAATTTTGTTTGTGGATTGGGTTCATCTGGCTTGGGATGGGGACCTGTAGCGAGTGTTTGTAAACGTTGTAATATACCTCATTAAAGTTTATGAATTTCTTGGCTACGTAAGCTACTATTAGCTTCTCACGAATTAACTGTTCCGTGTAGTTAGTCAGGGTTTAATAAAGGTACGTTTCTGTGCGGTCGGCTCTGTCGGTATGTATAATGAATGTTTCTTACGCTTTAAATTTGCTTGTTGAAATCATTTCATTAACTGCAGAAGATACAATGTCTGTTGATTACCTTGTGATTCGTAACACGGTACGTACACAAAAGCCTTGCACGGTACTTTAATGACTGACGTTTTGGCAAGCCATGTACGTATTTACAGTGTTTGTTTTAATAAGCGAGATTCATTGTACGTTTGTTGGGACTTGTTCCTTTGAGATACAAAAGCCCCGTTTGCCCGTTTTGAAACATTAACGTGGCCCCATACTTTGTACATCAGGGTCTTTGTCTTATTAAAGGCAGAGTATGGGGGAATATACAAGCAGTAGTGAATGACTCTAGATGTATAATAGAGAAAGACAGAAACAGAACGTATGAGAAAGAGTAAAAAGACAAGTGAGGAAAGAGACATTTGGAATGGCTTTATGCTTTCTGGAGGATTTCTCAGTCAAACGCAGAAGGCAAGATAGCTGATCCCAAACCCCGATTCCCGTGGCATTGCCACAGCCAGGCGGAATTTGAACAGAGCAGTGAAGCAACCACAATGTCCACTAATCACAGTTTCCGAGTTTCCCGGCCAGACAGACGGAACAACGCACCCTAATAAGCCCCTAATCATCTCTCTTCTCACTGCGTTGTTTTGGTGCCCGTAGACATCAGACAGGACTTTGGGTACTTAGAGGTGCAAAACACTTGCAGAAATTTGAAACCTTACCCACTACATCAAATTTCCGATTTTGTGTTCCATATTGTCGTTTCAACAGCTTTGGTTGTTTCCAGTTTTTGCATATAGCCTGTTCATATTTATATGTATCCTGTCAACATCACATAATTACGTAATAAATATACAGGTTATTAAATCCATACATACACACGCCATTTGCATTTTACAAAAGAGTAAAATGTATTGTGTCCAAGTTTTGAATGGAAACTTAGTACCAGTTACATTAATTGTGGTTTATCGCATGTTTTCTCAGTTTTATTTAGACCAATGATTCTTATATTGGGGATTTACATTCAACTAGTCCCTGCTTTCATGTTGATTGCACCAGGTGTAAGTGGGTTGTGTTGTCGACGTTTCAGAGAAACACGCTGCTTCCATTATCAGGCTAAAAACTTCATTGGTTTTCTCATTTACGTAAGACGAATGACTAACTTTTTCTGTCTTATGATATCATACGTCATGTTACAACACTTATTTTGGTTACTACCTAATGCTCTGTCCAGTTTTCTTTGCCAAATCATTGCCGTCTTACATCAGTAGTTACCTTAATGAACCTCTCGCCGCTGGAATTACACAGATTGAAATAAATACAAGTAAACTGCTTGTCGTTCATAATTATTTTCGTAGGAATGGAACTAAACCGGATCTGACTTTCTCTCAAAGATCGAAGACTTACGAACGAACTGTGTTTTAACTGCATGTAGGGATATAAACGCCTGTAAAGCTCGTATAGACTGACCCGCCTCGTTGACGTGCCAGAGAAGTTGCCGGGCTGGCGCGGCGATTGCATTGCTAATTATACGTGCTCTGAACTCTTTCTACTCTTTATGTGATTTCATTCTTTCTCAGCTACGTTGTTTCTATCTGGACCACAGCATGGGGCGAAGTACCCCACTGCATAGTACCTCAGCACAGTTTTAGATTAGAATGCCCAAGGAATGGGCCTCAAGGGAAACACTTCTCGGAAGAACTAGGTATAGATGGGAGGACAACATTCAAGCGGATCTTAGGGAAATTTGTTTCGAGGGTGTGGATTGGTTTAATCTGGCTTAGGGTAGATACCTGTGAGGGCTGTTTTGAACAGGGTAATGTACTTTGGGGTTTCACGGAATTTGGGTTATTTCTTGACTAGTTGAGCATACTGTCAGATTCTGAAGAAGGACTTTCCTTACTGCAGAGTATTCCACGTTGTACGAACTACTAAATTGTTTTAATAATACTCAAGGTGAAGGTTTCATCTGAAACACTTGTCATATAATCAATTACAGTGACGTATTACTTACTGTTATGAATTATCAATTTTAACATTTGATTTAGAATGCTTGGTGATTAGAATGCTTTACAGCTACTTTCTCGAAAATCTAGTTGTTTTGGCTTTGAAGGAGTTTTTGTTTTAAAAAAAAATGGATGGGATGTTTTTGTTCTCATTCAAAGCCGTGAGTTCAATGCGTCCCGGAATGGACAGTGCCAGCTGTATACTTGTGGAGGATGCCAAGGCTGTTGCACAAGATGAGGAACCAAAGGATCTGACTTCATCCCAGGCTCCTACAGAAGGTAAGTTTATTAGTGACTTATGTTTTAAACCACGTATTTAATCCTGGGGTATATTACTGCATAATTCCAGATCCCAATTCAATGTTGAACAAACTGTAATTTTGTCACGTGTTTTGTATGGTTGTGAAAATTAGTCTGTTACTCTAACAAGGGAATGGTTAGGTTAGACATGTCGAAACCTCTCCTGAAATTTTTCTCGTCTACAGAGACCATCTGGTAATGATTATACACAAAATCTCAGCTGCGGATACGCTGTGCAAGGGTGCGAAATAATTGCTCAAAAAATCGAATGTACATTTAAAATTCGCGCCATCCTGCACGCGTCTGAAGATATTTTTCAAACCATATTTCTGCCGATCTGTAGGAACCTGATTGAAAATCCTCATTTCAATTTGAAATGACGGGTAGATTAATTTCATATCTGTATCACTTCAATAACATTCCAAATATAATGCTAGTTGACTTAGTTTAGGTTGACTTAACGTAAGAGAGTTTGCGAACAGGGTGGATTCTTACGTCGAAATGATCATAAGTGCAATAATAATTAAATTAATTTTCAACGCACACTTTCATCTCATGTATGTATATAAGCTGAATGTAATTTTAACGTCAGTTGTACTAGTCTGCCTTGTGCCAGCTTTATAGAACTTCCTATGTTGACAGAATCACTCCCAACGAGCACTGCGGTCCACTCAAGTGGACCCAGCGCTTCCAACAAATTACCCGGAGGGTCCAGTAGTGACGTCGTGGATCAGCAACAGACTCACCAACAATTCCAACAGCAACAGCAGCAGCAGTGGCCTGCTGTACTTGAGATAAGAGAACTTGGCATCCCACACTCTGCCACAATCCCTCCATTTCAATTCTGGAACTCCGAGTTCCGCAACAAAGAACCAGCATTCATACGCCTGAATTTTACCCTTCCCTGGGGTTCCAACTTCGCCGTGTATGGTCGTCGAAATGTAGCTCCGAGTGTCACTCAGTATGATTTTGTAGAATTTATCAAGGGAGGTCGAATCGATCACAGACTAAAACGATCTCTTTCTGATGCACCCTATATCACAAGAAGTATAAACTCGTTGGATCGTATTGTCATGGACGATGATGTGGTACATTTTCATTCTCCTGGTGTCTCGTCAATGTCTGCTGTGAGTTTTAAAACTTCAACGTCACAAAAATGGCGTGATCATAAAGGCATGACTGGTTCCGAAATCCTCCACGTTATTCCCCCTCCACCATTCATTGTAAATCACAATCATCTTGAAAGAAGTCCAGAGAGTCAAGAGGATAATTCTGAGTCTGCTTCTGAAGGAATTTTATCTTCTACACCAAAATATACAAAGTTAAAAAGACGTCAAATAATGCCTGACACCAAGGAAATACTCTTAACTGAGAGTAATCATAAACTACCCCAAACAGTACAAAGTAAAGCAAAGAGAACAGAGAACAGGGATGGAGAACATGGAAGTTTTAACTGGGAACAGGGGCTTAAGCAGAATGGAGAGGTTCAGGAACACGTGGTTGAGAAGAGGTCGGCTGGGACAGGAGTCGGTGGAAGTGTCTTGATGCTTGTCAATGTTACACTTCTGCAGTACTTGGATACTGGACGGTGGTTTCTGTCAGTGTACAATGATGATTTAAGACCCCACCAGGTGACACTTGTGGTAGCCGAGGCTGAGGGTGTGTCCACGGCTTGCCCCAATGACTGCAGTGGACATGGCTCGTGCTATCTCGGAAAGTGTGACTGCATCGATGGATATGAAGGCATCGACTGCTCCAAGAGTGAGTATCTGATTGCTCTGTGTTTTCACAAGATCTACTGACCATAAAAGACTAACCTGTGTCTTTCTTTTAATGATACATTATAAATTAAACTTTGATTGATAGAAGTAAAATATTATTTATTAAAATTGTGAAGTATTGTTCTGCCTTCACTCACATGAGGTTCTCGAATGTTTCTCGTGACTCCAGCTGCAGTGATGCCAGTATACTTACGTACGAATTGTATTTCGTATACTTACTTACGAATTGTATTTCGTATACTTACTTACGAATTGTATTTCGTATACTTACTTACGAATTGTATTTCGTATACTTACTTACGAATTGTATTTCGTATACTTACTTACGAATTGTATTTCAAAAAAATGGATGGGATTTTGTTGTTCTCATTCAAAGCCGTGAGTTCAATGCGTCCCGGAATGGACAGTGCCAGCTGTATACTTGTGGAGGATGCCAAGGCTGTTGCACAAGATGAGGAACCAAAGGATCTGACTTCATCCCAGGCTCCTACAGAAGGTAAGTTTATTAGTGACTTATGTTTTAAACCACGTATTTAATCCTGGGGTATATTACTGCATAATTCCAGATCCCAATTCAATGTTGAACAAACTGTAATTTTGTCACGTGTTTTGTATGGTTGTGAAAATTAGTCTGTTACTCTAACAAGGGAATGGTTAGGTTAGACATGTCGAAACCTCTCCTGAAATTTTTCTCGTCTACAGAGACCATCTGGTAATGATTATACACAAAATCTCAGCTGCGGATACGCTGTGCAAGGGTGCGAAATAATTGCTCAAAAAATCGAATGTACATTTAAAATTCGCGCCATCCTGCACGCGTCTGAAGATATTTTTCAAACCATATTTCTGCCGATCTGTAGGAACCTGATTGAAAATCCTCATTTCAATTTGAAATGACGGGTAGATTAATTTCATATCTGTATCACTTCAATAACATTCCAAATATAATGCTAGTTGACTTAGTTTAGGTTGACTTAACGTAAGAGAGTTTGCGAACAGGGTGGATTCTTACGTCGAAATGATCATAAGTGCAATAATAATTAAATTAATTTTCAACGCACACTTTCATCTCATGTATGTATATAAGCTGAATGTAATTTTAACGTCAGTTGTACTAGTCTGCCTTGTGCCAGCTTTATAGAACTTCCTATGTTGACAGAATCACTCCCAACGAGCACTGCGGTCCACTCAAGTGGACCCAGCGCTTCCAACAAATTACCCGGAGGGTCCAGTAGTGACGTCGTGGATCAGCAACAGACTCACCAACAATTCCAACAGCAACAGCAGCAGCAGTGGCCTGCTGTACTTGAGATAAGAGAACTTGGCATCCCACACTCTGCCACAATCCCTCCATTTCAATTCTGGAACTCCGAGTTCCGCAACAAAGAACCAGCATTCATACGCCTGAATTTTACCCTTCCCTGGGGTTCCAACTTCGCCGTGTATGGTCGTCGAAATGTAGCTCCGAGTGTCACTCAGTATGATTTTGTAGAATTTATCAAGGGAGGTCGAATCGATCACAGACTAAAACGATCTCTTTCTGATGCACCCTATATCACAAGAAGTATAAACTCGTTGGATCGTATTGTCATGGACGATGATGTGGTACATTTTCATTCTCCTGGTGTCTCGTCAATGTCTGCTGTGAGTTTTAAAACTTCAACGTCACAAAAATGGCGTGATCATAAAGGCATGACTGGTTCCGAAATCCTCCACGTTATTCCCCCTCCACCATTCATTGTAAATCACAATCATCTTGAAAGAAGTCCAGAGAGTCAAGAGGATAATTCTGAGTCTGCTTCTGAAGGAATTTTATCTTCTACACCAAAATATACAAAGTTAAAAAGACGTCAAATAATGCCTGACACCAAGGAAATACTCTTAACTGAGAGTAATCATAAACTGCCCCAAACAGTACAAAGTAAAGCAAAGAGAACAGAGAACAGGGATGGAGAACATGGAAGTTTTAACTGGGAACAGGGGCTTAAGCAGAATGGAGAGGTTCAGGAACACGTGGTTGAGAAGAGGTCGGCTGGGACAGGAGTCGGTGGAAGTGTCTTGATGCTTGTCAATGTTACACTTCTGCAGTACTTGGATACTGGACGGTGGTTTCTGTCAGTGTACAATGATGATTTAAGACCCCACCAGGTGACACTTGTGGTAGCCGAGGCTGAGGGTGTGTCCACGGCTTGCCCCAATGACTGCAGTGGACATGGCTCGTGCTATCTCGGAAAGTGTGACTGCATCGATGGATATGAAGGCATCGACTGCTCCAAGAGTGAGTATCTGATTGCTCTGTGTTTTCACAAGATCTACTGACCATAAAAGACTAACCTGTGTCTTTCTTTTAATGATACATTATAAATTAAACTTTGATTGATAGAAGTAAAATATTATTTATTAAAATTGTGAAGTATTGTTCTGCCTTCACTCACATGAGGTTCTCGAATGTTTCTCGTGACTCCAGCTGCAGTGATGCCAGTATACTTACGTACGAATTGTATTTCGTATACTTACTTACGAATTGTATTTCGTATACTTACTTACGAATTGTATTTCGTATACTTACTTACGAATTGTATTTCGTATACTTACTTACGAATTGTATTTCGTATACTTACTTACGAATTGTATTTCGTATACTTACTTACGAATTGTATTTCGTATACTTACTTACGAATTGTATTTCGTATACTTACTTACGAATTGTATTTCGTATACTTACTTACGAATTGTATTTCGTATACTTATGTACGAATTGTATTTCGTATACTTACTTACGAATTGTATTTCGTATACTTATGTTGTATTTCGTAATTATTGTCGCAGGTGTTTGTCCTGTGCTTTGCTCGAACCATGGAAAGTATGGGGGTGGTCTGTGCCATTGTGAGGAGGGGTGGAAGGGACCGGAGTGTGACATCCCAGAACATGACTGTCAAGTTCCTGACTGCTCTGGACATGGTCAGTGCCTCGCTGGCATATGTGTCTGTCAGTCAGGCTGGAAGGGCACATTCTGTGAGCATGGTGAGTGCAGTTCCCCTATTTTTTTAAAAAAATTGATAATTGTCCAAAACATAACCTCAAGAATAATGTAAGTAGAAAATAAGTCTCATTTTCTGCATATAAATGTGTAAAGGCTATCGTTATGTACCGACTTATTGGTCCAGTTAACTTTTATCAGATCTGCATCATGTGGTAGTTCACGTACCACCTATGGTACGCGTGCCACTGGTGGTATGTGAATTAATTAAGAAAATCAAAAGTTAATATTAACATAAATAACAGTTTTCCCCGAACGAATTTGGTTAGTGGTACATTTAATGTGTTAAATTATAATTAGTGGTACCCCTGATCTAATTCATTCTCACTATCAAACTGAATCTGATGAAGTTCCTTCAGATTCACTTGCAATAAAGTCGTCATCACACGGAACAGCTGATCGCTTCCTGCTAGTAGACGTCATGGCTTCCATGTGCTGACTTCGTGATGCGTATTTATAGAGAGAGCAAAGCATTCAAATACAGATTTGTTATTGTTTCGTACGTGACTGGAAGCCTTTCATACCCTTATGAGTCAACATCATGGGTTAACGCTGTAAATTCTGGCAGCTCCTGTGGTTACAAATGCCTTAGTGATAGCAGCACTGTCTGGACAATGAAACAGTGTTTGAGATATCCCAACAAAGTCGATTTCTGTTTTGATCGGCATGCACTCAGTCGATCTAAGTCTCAATTGATATCGATCTAATGCATTTAGTTCTCAAGAATTCCTTATGGTGGAGGAAGGATCTGACAGTAATGTAACGCACCAACCGGTCAGACAGAGAACTTCCATAATTTAACTGAAGTGTCGCGGGGAAATGAAAGTGTAACAATACGTATACGAGATAAAAGCTAACAATTTCCTCTTCAATTTTGCACCAGAGTATACGAACTCAGAAATGTTTAAGTTCAGCTCGTTAAAATGAATTTGTTTTGGAATTATCTGTGCTTCGTTGCAGTGGATTGCGCCGACCCTGGGTGCTCGGGACACGGCTCCTGTGTTGGGGGGAAGTGTTATTGCAAAGCGGGCTGGCAGGGTGCCAACTGCAGTTCTGTGGATCAGCAGGTGTACCAATGTTTACCTGGATGCTCAGAACACGGCAGTTATGACCTTGAAACTGGAGCTTGCGTCTGTGACAATTATTGGACTGGCCCCGATTGTTCGCAAGGTGTGTTTGTTCTCCTCGCTTTTAAAGTAAGGAAATTTGTCGTTTCTGTGGTGTTACATCTGATGTCACTAGGTAAAGTTAATATTCATGAATGGTTATTTCCTGTGTTTTCAGTACGTCCAGTTATTGTCGCCAGACGAGTAAAATTATCAGTCGGACAAATGTAAATACTACACGACTATAATTGTAGGTACCAACAATATGGGGAATTATCATTCATGAAGACGATGTATTATCTGTGTTTCTCACTTTCAGTTCATAACTTTAATTTTGTAGCATTTGAGGTTATCACGGAGGTGAAATCCAGAAGACGGCCAACTTTTATAATTTTATTTACGACGATCATGAAACGTGCATCAACTTATGTGATCAAAATGTGTATCTGATGAATGATTAATGGTGAAAATTTTTAAAAAAATATGGACTTCAGTGAATCATCAGAATACCTACAAGTAACATCGTGGTGTGACTGTAGAACGCAGTTCCACTTATGCGATTAATGGATACATTAAAACTGCGCAAGTTTGTATTTCTCTTACTACCGAATACTCGTGTTTCTTTTAGAGCCTTAAAGACGTAAATTATCTTGAGATTAAATGCCATTGTTTTTATTTTGAACTGCAGCCTTGTGTAGCTTGGATTGTGGTCCTCATGGGCATTGTGACAAGGGAAAATGTGAATGCCACAAGGGATGGACGGGTGACCGCTGCGATCTACTGCCATGCGATACGAGATGCTCGGAACATGGCCAGTGTAAGAATGGAACTTGCGTCTGTTCTCAAGGCTGGAACGGGAAACATTGCACCCTACGTAAGTAAATAATGCTGTCTGTGCACATTTTAATTTAGGTATTTTGAATATCCAAATTAATATTACATATTTTATAGATGAGTTAAGTATCTCATTTGATACAGCTTAATTTTAAAAATTGTATTAAAGACTTTTGTAATAATTTTTGTGATTTAATAGTAGTTTCATTATTATATATTTCATGTAAATTAATTTTTACAAAACATATTTTTCGAACTTGGAGTAAACGTAGAATAAAGTAAGGTACAGAACTATTTTTTTTAAGGAAGTGACTAGTCTGAATTTTTACGTTGATGCGGGAATTACAGCAAAAAACAGATCTTTGTATTAGTGCTTAAAAGTTTTAGGACACATTCCATAACAAAGTCTAAGTAATTATATGTATTACCTTTGAATATTTTACCAATTTTATTTAATTTTTCTTATATGATCACTTATTTACAGAGATTAATTTTTTGTAAAATTTGGTATGAAAGTGCTTGAATTATATTGGTCACGTAGAGATATCATTGTGCTCTTAGAACTGCGAAAAGATTTACATTTATTTTCACTTAACTTTTATCGTGTATTAAAAGTCAGTTCGAACACTTACACTTCGAGCCTGCTCGCTAGACTTTGACTCCATGTATTTTGTAGTCATTTCCTATAATTCCACTTCATACGCTCGTCGCTCGCTCATCTTAACTAAAGGAGGGACATTAAAATGTTACGTGTTATTAGCTGGGTGTAAGAGTGCGTGCAACCGGCACGGAACCTGCGCCCTTCAGGATGGAGAGTACCGCTGCGTGTGTTCGGATGGCTGGGCTGGTCTCGACTGCAGCATTCGCCTAGAAATAAAATGCAACGATGAAATAGACAATGATGAAGGTGAGAATCGTAATACCTTCCAATTTATTTCCAGCTAAATACTGTCACGTGTACGTAATAAAACTAATCGCTATTTCTCTGTAAAAGATAGTTTTAGTCTGCTTATATTTTACCCTAAACTATGTAGTGAATTTGTGTGATTTCAAATTATAGAAGACCAAAGCTGAAATTTGTCTGTCAGGTTCATATTTTATTCATATAGATCCATTATCATTTTTCATGATTTACGAGAGGACGTTATTGAATTTTTCTTGTATATACCTCACGCTCAGAACTCATTCTCTTAAAAATCAATCCCTTGAATGATATTTAAGTTGGTAAGATTACGTAGGGAAGGTTATCAAGTCAGGATCATGGTTTTGGATATTAGCGCACAAAAATTCCAAAAATAGTCGATGAAAACATTTATTTTAAATTGCGTCGTGTTCACTTTAAGTTATATCTGTGTTCTTGGAACAGATGGGATGATCGATTGTTCGGACAGCGAATGCTGTTCGCATCCGTCTTGCAAGGACCACATAATGTGTCTGGCGTCCAACGATCCCGTCGAGGTACTGTTGCGGAAACAGCCGCCGTCAGTCACGGCTTCCTTCTATCAGAGAGTTAAGTTCCTTATTGAGGAGAACAGTGTTCAGAGTTATGCTCACATGGATGAATACAGCGAAAGGTAGGAACGCAACTTCAATTATAACTCATTTCGATTTGTTGACTACTGCAGTTATGTTATTATTTATATACAAGAAATACTGTCTCACCATTAACTTTTTGTTTTTGTTTTTGTTTCTTTGGGTTGTTCTTTAATAACAGGCAAATTTTAAGGTGGTTTATGGAGAACATGTATTCATTTTTTTTGGTAAATATGGAGTTTCATTACATCCAAAATCGTTTTGGACCACAATTTAAGGAATTTTTTCCACAATTGGTATTTATCCAGGTCTGTTATGGAAATTATCATGCAAAATTTTGTATGTCGTAAGCCTTTATGTCCCCCCCCCCCCTGTTCTATGGAAATTGTGCATTTTAAAAGAATATAATATAAAATTAGGAATTTAATAATCCCAAAATATATTACTGTTTATAAAACAAAATGTATCATAAAAATACGATGTAATTGTGCGTCTGTTACAAAAATGAAGCCAAATTTATTATATAACTTGCGAAATATTAAAGACATTATAGAGATTGTTCAGATAGGGAATTCTTAAAAATATATTAGTCGAAACGCAAATCATAATTCTGTGCAAACGTTCGTATTTTAAGCAACCGGTAGCATCATCGTGTGAGTATTTAAATTTTTCAAAATATCAGAAAACAAAATTATACACACAAAAAAAAATTGAAATATGAATGCTAATATTTTTAAGTTAAATGTTTAATGATTTTGAACTTACAGTCGTATTAGTCGTTTCGTAATTGCAACTCCATCTTTACCGATTTATGTACGTGTTTAATTTACATATTGTCACATTTTATTTTCTAATTTCATAATGAAACTATAAACTGCCTTCCAGTGACTTACTAGCTTTGTTTGGATTTGGTTAAATATTCTGTAGCTTTTTCTTTGTTTTTTGTTTTTGTTTTTTATTGAAACAGTTTCTTACTAGCACCCTACTATATTGAAAAATACCAAGATTTCATAATGATCCTCCCCCTTTGTACTCCCCTATTCTCAGGTCCTGATATTGAAAACCATTACATCATCTTTACCGTGTTTCGTCCTGAAAATGCTACATCTGTTTTTGTCTTTCAAAAATTTTTCATTTTTAGTCAAGATTTATAATTTATAATCCTTACAAGTCAATTATTTCAAGCGTCATACTACTTTGCTTGTCCTAAAAGTTAGCGTGAACTATAAATTTATTTTTGTCGCATATCTTGCTTCGATAATGCGATACACTAATATTTATTTACATTTATGGTTTCAATTATGACTTTATTATTTAGGCGTACGTGTTTAATGTTACGTATGTAATTCCCAAAAATTCTGGTCTCGTTGCTCTTGTGTTTGAAAGACAAAGATAATTCAGTGTATTGAATCATTTTTCAGGATGAAATATTAGTAAATTGAACATGCAAAGCATAAATAAACATTCAGAATGATGTCCCACTATCGCTGTCGAGTTAGTTTCATTTGAGAAAGACCCGTCGTCATTCAGAAAGAATTATTATAAAGTTGAATGGTTGCAACGTAACTAACGCATATAGAAATTTTTTGTGTATTTATTCAAGAGCCTTAAGGTCATGAATAATTATGAACAGAAACAATTTAAATTTTAATCATCATCAGGGAAACTAATAGCCCTGATGATGGAAGTAACAAGTATGTCTGAAACGTCAGTAAACTTCTGTCAGACTTTCTGCTGTGAAAACCTCAAATCCTTCTAATAAAAATTTAAAAAGAATATAATTAGAAATACAAAATAATTGGTAAATATATATGACGAGTGGACTATTTTTATGAAAATATATATCAAACTATGAATATATTATATTATTTAGAATTTCATAATTATATAATTAAGTATTTGGCTCTTATGTGAGTCACATTATCATACAGGAATTTTTTATCAGAAAATTATGTGGAAAAGAAATATTCTATTTTAAATATTAGTAAGTTGTTGTTGACATATTTATTTTTTAATGTGTATCACATTTCTGGCACTGTAAAATACTTATTATTTCCATTTTTAATAATATAGTTCAGTCACAGTAAAATTATAAATGCAAATATTAAAGCCATTTTATAAACATTGACAATTTTCTTTAAGTTTAAGTGACCGAGACAAATTAGAAAACAACGTATTTATCAGTTTCGTGCATTTGTGAAGGTCTTCAAATAATTCTGAATATTTATTTATTCTGTGTTAAGCAAGTGACCCAATCAGATGTGATGAGAGATTTAAGCTGCATTTGTTAAAATTAACTCATAATACTGAAGTTTCTTGGAATTAAGAATTATTTGTCGTTGTTGGTGGATTCTGTGCATTATTGTTGTGCATTATCTGAGTACGTTTGATGTTGTGCGTTATTGTTGTACCAGACAAATCATGCTAAATATAACTCCGAAATGCAAAAAAAAAAATGTACACGTGGTTTTAATTTTGAATTAAAAAATTATATTAATATATTCCGCATGTCAGACCGTCTAATTTGTACAAACGTGATAATTCTCTCTTTAGTATGAATGCAATTTATGTAGTTGGTGCATTACAAATTTCCAAATGTTTTGGTTCATTTATGTTAAATGTTCACGTGGTGAAGTTATCTGATGGGCACTTTGCGAAACATGCATCGTGCTCGGTATTTATTAATAGCAGGACCTGGTCATAGCCCCAACAAAGTGTCTTTTGTCTAGTGTTGACCCTTAACATGTGTGTGTGTCTTTTTCTCTCATTCATTAGATTATTCATACATAAGTTCATTAAGTTGTGAATTTTATAATCACACTTGCTATTTATTTGATTTGTCCCGTATGGACTATGAGAGCCGTTATAATAAATGTGGCTTACTGGATGATATTATAGGCTGTCTCAAGGCATTACATTTTTAAAATTATGCAGGATTCACATTTACATTTACATTATATACTTTTTTTTTCTCAAAATTACACCTTCCCAGCAATCAAAGGCTTGCTTATGTAAATTTAAATGTTCGTAACAGAATAAATTTTACCCTTTGTGATATATCTTATCGGCCTTAAAATTGATGCTCCTGTCAGAATCGGATGTTTTAATTTGGTACTTCATATCAAAATTTGTAAACATATTTAAAAAGAAAAACACGTCGCCCGTCGCTTGTTAATTTGACAATTTACGTGCTATTTTTTCCTGTTCTTACATTCCTTGTTATTGATTGACATCAATTTGTTTCATTCAGTGAATTCCTGCACATCACTAAAGCTAAGTAATAATATTAAAAATGAATTCTAAAAGAAGGCCACTTTCCAGTGTGAAATTTCTGAGCTGTTATATAATTTTATTGCATTGCCTCTTATGTTTCACTCTGTTTTTCTATGCCATTTCATTTCTTAACAGATTTTCTTCTTTAAAAGGGGAAAGAAAGTTTTGCTGTAATTTTCATTTATATTTCTTCCTTTTATCTGTTAAAAACATTTTTTTAAAAACTGATTTAATTTAATGAAGCTTGAATACAACAAACAAGTCAATGTGGAAATTAAATCTGTGGAGAAAGGAACTAGAAAAAGTGAAACATTTTAAAAATAATATCAAATGGAAGCTGTAGAAAAGAAATGATTACCTTCAGAATAATTATTTATAAGGATTTTATATGGTAGACACAAGTTACCATTTTTTAATGATACCTCATTTTATTCAAAATCATTTTTGTTACTTTTCTATTACATTTTGTAATATACATATTCGTTAAGGAAAGAAGGTAACTTTGAAATATGAAGAATGTTCATATTCTGTTTGTCTATAGAATATGTGTGTAGTAACTTGTGTACTCGTTCAGATCGCTGTTTATTTGTGAATTCCTCCTCTTAAGTTTTTTCATCAACAAATCTACTAAAAGCCGTACTTGTGTCTGTCATGTAGTTATACCATTTGATTTGAAGAAAAAAAAATCTGTGTCTTTGTGTGCGTCTGTTTTGTGTATTTGTGCGTCTGTTGCTATTTTGCAATACTTTTTTACATGTGTGATGTGTGCGTGCGTGTGTGTGAGCGTGCCTCTTGTGATTCTTCCGTTTGTTGAAATGCCAGCCATAGCCAAAGTATTCATGAACAAAATCAAGTATTTAATAGGTGAAAAATAATTGTATTATTTACTGCACATATAAGTGAGTTTAAGAATTTGTATATGTGTCACATTAAATAAAATACAAAGGATCTATGTAATGCAATTATTAGCATTTTTATATTCAAGAACATAAATTATTTTATTTATAAATTTATAACGTTATAGTTCTAAATGTATATATATATATATTATAAGTATCATAAAATGATGTTGACAGTTTCATTATAAATGGTTTAAAACAGCAGATAATGACTATCAAATATATTAGATGATCATGTGTTTTTAATGCCACAAGTGCCTAATATTTATTCAACAGTTTTACTTCATGAATGCTTTGTGCTACAATATGCTGGAAGAGTTCTGTTTATTTTCACGTATCTCATAATTCGTAATTCATAATTTTTTGCTTTCTTGCGTGGTTCGTAACGTCCTCTTCTTCTCATTACTTCCCCCGCATTGTAGTCAGTTCTGGAACTCATTTACTCCGCGGTAAGTTGGTCCCAACCATAATGTCATATTAATACTTATTTACTGTCAGAAATATCAAAAGTTTCAGAAAATTAACAAAAGAAACTATATGAATTTTAATTTTTGTCTATTAAAAGTATACTTTTTACATAATTCCTTCATAAAAATTCTGTCTTTTATTTATTTTTTTATTTCCTACACAAAAGAGACCCAAATGGGTATCCAAAAAATGCATAGTCTGTGACAGTCAAGAGCTAGGCATTACCAGAGTTTGGCGGTAGGAGGCTTAAAGAAGTCTCGAGTCCTTAGAGCTTATTTACAAAGTGGAAATAGCTTTCAAGGACAGTTAATGACATTCTTTCGCTGCTTCTAAAAGCATTAACTCTGGTTTAATGCAGTTACTTCTCTGTTTATCATTATTTTTGTTACACACATTCAAGGAATTGGTATGCCGTTAAAATTTATTTTATTTATAAAAACTGTCTGTATCCTTTAATATTTACTTATTTTTAGAAAAGAATTAAAGAGATAAAAGTAAGGGCAGTTCATGTTTATATCTGAAATCATCTTAGCAGTTTTAAAAAGAAATTAGTAAAGTGCAGTTTATTTTTGGTAGCATTTTGGTTTTTGAGACAAACGCTGTTATTCATGCAGTCAGCAAATTTTAATATTGAACCTAATAAATATGATACAAACTTACAAAGTAATGATAATTTATTCATATTACGCTGAATTAAAAGTGTACTTGAATGTGTGTCATATTGAAACAGTTTTATATATAGAGTGGTTTGATTATTACACAGAATTATTTTAAAAATGGTGTTACAGTGCATCAGATTTTTTCCTTTTGTTCTTTGTTTCTTTGAATTTGTGATATAATTTAATAAAATTAAGTATGTACAGAAAATTTATTTTCATATCAAAATTGTAAATTCTGTTGTAATAGCTACACAATACTAGGCATACCACTGGGTTCTCTATCCATTTCATTCAAACTCTGCAAATAAATTAATTTTAAAACTAATATTGGCGGGTTATAGGAATATAAATTTAACGTTTTATAGTTATTTTAAAGAACATTGTCTGTCTTCTAAATCTTATAAAGAACATACTTGAAAATTATGTGCCACAAAACATTCTTAGCTAGGATTAATATTATTATAACAATAATTTATATTTAAATCATATGGCTCTTCAAAATTATATAATTGGTATGTCATTTTACAAATTAATTTTTAGATTTTATCACAGCCTATTAAATTATTAAGGAGAAAGAAAGATTTTGTGCAGTCTTACCACACTTTGGAGACAAAATAACAGTGTATTTCAGTATATTGTAATTAAATTTTCAAAACCACAAAGATCATCTGTGCTTTCGAAAGTTTTCTTTTATGCCCTGTCAATTTTGACTTTCTGATTAATTAATTGTTAAAGGAAACTGCTATGATGTATGAACGAGATCTCAGAAGTTGTAACCGAATTCTCAGTCTCTCATTTTTTTAGGTCTGTGATCATTTTTAATGCACGTGAAAAATTACCAAGACATAAATAAATAGTTTGTTCCTATTATTAGTTCAGTGGGGTTTTTATTGGATTTAGTAAAGTCATTGCTTGAAGAATTTCGAATTATACATGAGCACATATTATTTGTACAGTTCTTTTGTATTTTTAGTATACAGAGAAGAGTTACATGCTACTAATATTGGAACTGTATTTATGTTACTTACATACCACCCAGTCTAGCGGTTTTGTCTTATATTGTGTAGAAACCATTTATATATGAATCACAAGTCTTCTGTCTCAATTCTTTTTATTTGACTTCATGTTCTTTGTTTTTAATTCTGAACAATCAATGAACCATCTCTGTGTTAGTGTGTCGTTCGTTCGTTGCACTGTCTTGTCAGTCCAAGTTCTTTGTAACGTGTTGTGTGTGTTTTTTTGTTGATTTTTCATATTATAATTTTAATTTGTAAAAAGAAAAAAACATTGAAACCACAAATTCAAGAAACTGAACAGTTTTAACCTGTTTTTGGCAAGTGTAGCCATCTTGAATTTTTCCCTGTCCTTTGTCTGCGTCTATCATTGTTACTCTGTCATACCCAGGCTCCCGATCCAGCTCTGTCATTCGTCCTTGTCCTAACCTCTCCTTTCCGTTCCGTACCTAACCTTACTTGTCACATTCTAACCTAACCTTTACCTATCCATTTTGTCCCTTCATTCACAACATTCACAGTATTTTAAACGAAAACTAGTACTTTTCTTATTGCATTTGTAATAAGTCACTTTTTTCTATACACTTCAACATTGATGTTTCTTAAGTGTGTTATTTATTTTCACAGTAGTTTTATGATAATGCTTGGTTATGTGTTTTCTTCCCCTCTAAGAAACACGAGTTACAGACTTACTACTCTGAATTTTTAGGAGTAATTGAAGGATTTGTAAAGGTTTCAAATATGCAAAGGTCTGTCCAATAAGAATTGCTATTTTTAAAAATATATCTTATGACATGTTATTTCAGCTGTCATCTGTGAGTTATAGGAGTATTATTGTGTCTGCTAGCTCAATTCTTCAAGAGTTTACACTTCAAGAAGTAATCTAAAAATATTCCTTTGAAACAACTTTATCTTGGTGTCAGGCATTTCTTTGAAGAAATGTAACTTCCACTTTTATAGAGATGACGATGAAAATAATAATAATAGTTGTATGAGAAAAGTGCTTTTAACTTCATTTCTTTAGTGATTCCAAAAAAGTGTGATTTAACATAAAACATTACATAAAAATACTTGTTCTGAAAGAAAATAGTTTGCTCATTTGTTTTTGTGATAGTAATTTTACAGTACCCAGTATTTCTGTTTTGGGATGCTTGGACCCCTTCAATTACTCCTTCTATATTGCAGAAGTTTATTTTAAAAAATGATATAAATTAAGAAATGTTGACAAAATATTATTGCTATAGTAATGCATTATAAAATTAATTTATTGACTTTCCAACAACATTTTGCACTGCAAAGCACTTATTTTTTCTGCAGATTTCTTGCTTTTGTGTATCACAGTTTTTTGCCACAGTAATTCAGCATGCCAAAAATTTTCTCTTTACCTGGGATAGGCACCAACAATGCTATCTGTTGCAAAATTGTAGAATTATTTGTAGAAATATCGACCCAAACTATAACATTTTTATATCAAAGTACATTTTTTAAATTTATTTATAAGAATGACTTTTACACTAAAAACATTTTCACTTTAAGTTTTTCATAATATATTCAAAAAAATATTCATCATATATATATAGTATATTTGATAGATGTGTAACAAATGCTGTGCTTTTGAGGTAACGCTTAGATGAAATTGAAATAATCAAATTTCTCAGAGGATATGCCATAAAGGCAAAAACAAATAAACATAAAAAAATATTTTAAAATATAATTTTAATTATTATTTCATGAAATAAATGTACTTTTGAAATAAGAACACAGTTTAATATACTGTGTTTTAATGTTATTTTATTTTGATATGGAAAATTAGTTTGTGTTCCACCTCTCCAAAGTTAATTTAAATTAAGTAGATAAAAAACAGACGATACTGGAATAGTTAACTGGTTTTAGTTCAGTTGTGACTCTACAGAAATTGTCTAATACGTTTATATCATAATCGGTAGCTCTTCGCCTCATATCTTTTTACCATTCCAACCCTTGTATGAAAACAGGTAACACTGAAGTCTGCCCTTATCTGAAATATATCAAGGTATAAGAAATATTAAAGTTTGCAAGTTACATTATGGGTTTAGGCGACTATATTATTTAATGCTGTCACATAATAGTACTTTCATTGGCATTCAAGGTAATTCATAACATTTCCAATATTACCATACGTTTAAGGTAGAAGTTATAACAAATTTATTCTGTAGTATGTTGTTGTGTTTATCACGCAAATGTTTGACGTATGATGTGCCAGTGATTAAAACCTGAAGTTCTCATTATGATATAATTGAATCCACAAATCTCATCAAATCAGCAGTGACTGGCAGATATCTAGAAATTAAATCTGACGCGTAGGCTCAAGATTTTAACTTGATAATCCTAAATTTAAATCTCTTACACACCAGCATACCAAGTTTTACATTTCGTCTTATAAGGTAGTGTAAGTTTAGTACAGCATGTGAACATTCACACTATACTATATTCTTTGGGATAATAAATAAATGAATTGAATTGAATAATGGAACTGTGAATTAAGAAAAAAACTGTCTTGATAATTATAGGAAATAGATTCATGATATTACATTCCGGGGGGGTGTGAAATATGGTCCATGGGCCAGGAGTGGCCTGTTGTGGAAAGAATCGGCCTGGTCCTTTACATTGCTCGAGTATTATTGGCAACATGTTTTTTATTAATTTTTTCTCATACGTAATATAAGGAGTGTATTATAATGACAAAGAAATTTGGATGTTTACAGGAAAGTAAATTTTGGGATTCCTCATAGTACATGTATTTATTACTGTAATTTATTATACTTATTACTGAATATTAGAAAGACAATTTTCTGCATCATTTGCATAATAAGACAGTAATGAATGAGTAAATATTTTGAAGGAGTGCTTTGGTTTCTAATTAAACCATTGATCTCGTGTGTTTTATCAGTTGCATTCAGTTGTAATGTTTACCTTCATTTGTCTGTTGAATTGAAAAGTTGGTGCCTGTCCCATATTTTAAAGTCAGTATTGTTTCTATATTACATTTTTAAATTATATGTGTGTTTCAATGTGTATAATTTTCTTAATATTCCATTAATAATTACAATTTATTATAACAATATCCAAATGTTTACATTGACAGTGATTTCATTGCTTTAAGATCTCTGGAAAAAACAAAACAAGACACAGTTTAATTGCAACTTTACAAATTCTGTTCTATGGGATAAGTAGAATGTATTATTGGTAGAACTGCACTGTCACCCAGATGTGTCCTGAATTTTTACTAATTTTACTAATGAATCTATTTTTGTACATCTGGACATCTTTAGCACAGAATTATTCAAGTTGTAAAACATCATTTAATATGTGAGTGAGCAAATAACCTGAAGAAGTCATCGTGAAATGTATAACTTTAATCTCACTCTGCCAGTCTTCTTCTTCTATGGCTCTCCGGTCCGTATTCGGTCCATGGCCTCCTCGATTCTCCTCTTCCATTCGGTCCTCTATAGGCCCGTCTGTCCGAGGCTTTGATCGAGGTTTCGAAACATCTTCCTTTTTACGGCGCAAGGTTGTTGGCCTTGCGACCAACCCCCAACCTGGAGGACCAGGGTACCTCTCCCCCTCGAAAATCTGGCTAGGGAGGCCCTACCAGTAGCTCTTGGGGTCACTGAGGTACTCAAGCCCCACCACCACGACAAGGCGCAGGTACCATTAAGTGGGGACTCTGCCGGTCTAGTTAATTTATTTTCCATTCCTTGGGTAGATAAAGAGTGTTTAAACTGACCAAAGTACTTTCTCTTGCCTGTTATTGCATTTAGAACTAAATGGTTAATGGAATTCTTTTCTTTTCTCTGTAGATGACAAGTCGTAGCATAGATCATGTTACATACTCACTATTTTAGTTATCTGTAGTTAATGTTAAAATCATCTCCTTTTAAGTTTGTGTACTTTACCATGTGGTACTTTTTTTACGCTGTGCTGTAACAAACGTCACGTTGACAGTAAAATATGATTTTACTGTCCGTAATTTATTTTATGCCTTCAGAGACTATTTATGGGAGTAGTAGACATGAGTAATTCTGTTAGACACTAAATAAGTTTTGGATTAATTTATCTTTAGAATGAAGATGGCTTTTATAACATAATTTTGCGGGAACGTGCGTCTTTTCAAGTGAAACAAAATTTTTACACATTTTAGTTTGTAATAGATGGGTTTTGCTAATCATTGTTAGAAGAAATTTATTGCTTCAGTGTCATTGTAGTTAAGCAAGTATTGGTCATATACTGAGAGCACTGATTGGATAATCATTGTAAATAGTGTTATTTCAGTTTATTGTAAGGAAAGAATTGCTAGGTTTCTTAAAATATTTGGAATTATTTCAGGAATGTTGTTCTTGTGGGTTGTGATGCCTTGTGGACTCGTAGGTAGAAACTTTCATTTCGGAGAAATATCATCTCCGTGTGCAGGTGGTGGGGAGCATTGGAAAGTTTATAAGTTTATAGTTTATATAGAATCTGGGCTAAGCTAGGGGGGAATTGGCAATTGGCCAGTCCGAGTAGAGGAGTAAGGAGGGTACGGTCATGACCAATGGCAA